GCTACTCTGCTTTCCTCAGCACAGGAAGAGATAGATACCTCAACACTTGCTTTTAGCCTTACTCCTTATGGTCTGGCTTAGTCTTTGCCTGGGTTAGCCCATGGCTTGCGTTTGTGTCAGTACCAAATGGGTTAGAAACCCACTTGTCCTCAGGCCACTGCTTCTGCACCATGGACTGTACTCGGAGGTGACTGTCACAGATTGCAATGCTAACATGTAATGGGCTTCAGAAAAGAAGTTTTGTCTTTAAAAATCCTCTAAAATAGACAGACCGAAAAGAAAAGCTGAAGCCTTGGGTTTCAGCACGCCATGTCTACGTAACTATGCCTGCATACATAATCTGTATGTGTTTGCAAATATAATGTCAGTCCATATTGTTACTATGTTTGTAGATAGGACTATGTATGTAAGCAGCTAAACCAGCATACTACAACTTGATTGCAGTAAGGTTTGATTGATTGAAAAGGTCTAGAATAACTGAATTACATCAGTGGATTAACAGTCATCTACTCTTCAGGTGCAGAACAGAGTCTGGTGTAGTTTGCACTCTAGAATGATTTATAATCAAAGAGACCAATCCTGCAAATTCTGTGTGCCAGGCTTTGCAGAATTTGTTAAAGCATTATCTGACAAGGACAAGTGAGAATACTGATGTTAGAGAAAAAAAAAAAGAGGTTGAGTGCAGTATTTGGCTGATGAGGATTCTTACACTATGAGTATGCATGCTTTCAAAATTGCTTCATGGGTTTTGCTATAGGTACTGATGGACTGAAAGGGAAATCTAGAGTTGCAGAAAATGGAGGGGCAGGTTGGAGCTGAGGAAACTGGACAGGTTTGAAAGCCAGGAGAATTTGCATTTGATGTGGATGGCAAGACAGAGCTATACACTCTCCCACATTTCTGTTCTTGTGTTGCTTAAAAATTATGTCTTGCATTAAAAGTACCACTGGAGAGTGGTGAGAATAGAAATCTGAAAACAAATAATTTCCCCTGATTTAAGGGTTTTACCCAGCCAAATGAAACTCTGAGCCTTTGCAGGCTG